TTGTCCCTGGGCCCTTTCCTTACTTAGCTCTTAGTCTGGTGCTGGGAACAGCCCCGTTCCCCAGCATGTATCCTAATGTTGCCAATCTACTGAAGTTAGGCAGGACAGACTGGATCTGTGAGCCTGAGCCTCTATGAACCACTACAAGTGTAAACCAGATAGATGTCTCAGGAAATTTTCAGGGCCTCTGTCCTGATACAGCTTCTTGATCCCTGAGAGATCTTAAAGGAGTACAGGGAACTTACTACCTACTGTGGGCAGGTGGGGTGGGCAGGATGCTTTTGGCAGGAGGTTCAGTAAATACTGGCCCAGCTTCCCTTCCTGGCAATAAAAAATGAATGTGATTGGGCAGTTTGATGCTACCTGGGAAGCAACGAGCCCTCACCTAGATGTTCCTGGGACAGCGTGTCTCAGAAATCCTAAATTTATACTGGGTCCCCTGGTATAGCTGGCAAAAGCTGACTGAAAGCAAAATCATGTGCTTGGTCTGCAGTGTGCATGCTGAGGGGGTCTCCCTCTACACTGCTGCACATGGTTCTGTCAGCCACAGGGAAACACGGCTATTGCAAGGGTAATGGCACCCTTTGTCCTCTTTCCATTCCCCGGCACTGGGACAGCAGGATTCTAGGATGATTCCAGGACTCTTGCCCCTGGGGAGGGCTCAGGATTCACCCTAAGCTTGGGCAGACTGATGCTTCGAAGTGAGATCCCTGGTGGGCCCACTGTATATCTAGTGAGGGCTAAAACACTGTGCAGGTCTTGCGGGAGCAGCACACAGAACAAGAAAATAGGATCTCAGCCCTGAAGAACTGACTTCTACCACCAATACAGGCCTCTGATGAGAAATGATCCCTAAGCAGGGACCCCAGCAGTGCTGAGATGGACTCCTACATTGATTAAACAAGAATAGATTTTTAAAAATTCATTTGATAACAAAAATACTACAAATTCTTCTTCCAAATCTATGGCTTAACCTACGGATGGAGATAGAGCCCTGTTTTTACTTATTAAATCCTACACCCAGTAATTATATTTCTTCCAGATAGATTTTTTTTTTAAAGTTAGTGCTATTCTCAGAAGCTAAAGCCGCTTCAGTGAGAATTTCATAAGCATCATAAGTAGTTATTCTTTTTCTCAATTAGCTCCAGTTATTTTAACTTGTTTCAAAATTTCCTAGAACCTGAGTAATAACTTCTCATTCTCTCATATTTTTCAGTGGGATATAAAAATTCCTGAACAATGATTCCACAATGGCTGGAGTCTTTGACTCAACCATTGTTTCATTTTAACATAAGATGGCCACTAGGTGACAGCATATTACTAGAATTTGTGCCACTTTGTAAACTGAAAAGCAAAGGTAAATTTACTTGTACTGTTACCCTACTATTCAACTTTATCATATTTATGCCTTGTGGAAATGATAGTAGAGTTGAGATTACTTCATTTCTTACAGTTGTTGGGTATAAAATATCTTATTTCTCTCTTATGCACAGAGATGCATGATTCTCAAAAATCACATGTTTAAGTGTCTGTTTATGTTTAGTTCACTAGCATTAGTTAATTGAGAAGCAAAATATATATAACATCACCAGAGATTTCAAGAAAATTATCACTAGTTGTCTAGAAAAGCAACCAACCTTTAATATGTCATAAGACACAGTATTAAATGCCAAGTTGTTTATCTGTGAGTTATTTTCATGGGAAATTATTGAGGGGTAGATATGCAAAGTTTAAGAATTAAGTTTACTTAGAGCAACTATGTTAGTTACTTACAGCAACTAAAATCAATAGTGATTCTTGATGATAGCATAGAGTTTAATAAAAAGGAGAGGATGAGAAGGTGGTTTGGATAGGTGAACAGTAGATAACAAGTAGAATGCTTAATGTTTTATGAATGCCTTTTTTAATAAGTATTTACCTAAATACTTGACTTGAAAGAATTATATCAAATTATTCACACAGATGTGAGTTAAAAAATATCAGATAGCTAGGGTGATCATGAGGTAGGATCAAGACCCACAATGGTAAAGTAAGTTGTATTAATGGTGAAGTAGGAGTTAGGTATAAACAGAAGAATGCTGAGAAAATATAGTAATGAAAAGATAAAAACAGAAGTCCTGGAATGAGTGTCTATGTGAGATAACAATTTTGTAGAGAGACTGACTCACTGTAATGGATGAGCACTAGAGAATGTTCCAAAAATTAAGGCTATGGCTCTCGGCTGTCTTTGACTCGCCAGTCTGTTTCTATTTTGGGGTTTCTGTGACAGTGTTTCTTCTTTATCATTCTATGTGTATTCCACCTGTTTCCCCTTGCATTATGTGGTCAAAATGTTAAACTAACAGAGTCTAAATATAAAGGGGAGTTATAGTGAATATTTTGTATTGGAAAACAATGTCATTTTAGTATCTCTAGAACTTTTTCCTACAAGACTTCATGTTGACATGTATGTGTTTTTAAGGCTCAAATTAGTAGCACCAAAATGCTGTACTTTAGTAGGTTACATACACATACACATACTTTTATATACATATGCTTTTATATATTTAAAATAGTAGGAAAATGAGTATTTTACCTGTGATTTTATCAGGTTCACTCATCCTTCAGTTTTTCAGTTTCCCACATCGATCATGCTATTTTATAATTTTTTAAACATTAATTTAACTATTTTTTTAAAGATTTATTTATTTATGCATATGGAACTGGGGCACAGGCCAGAGATGTAGGAGCCGTGAGAGGATTTGCCAGAGACTGAATGGGGAACACAACAGGCAGACTGATGAGGTACACTGCTGAGGGGAGCAGTGGGCGGGTCAAGAGAGGTCTGCGGTGCCCTGTGGATCACCTCCAGTGGGGATGGAACTCATGCGGAAGTGGCTCTAGCTTCTTAGTGCTGTGCTTTAACCCTCTGCACCATCAGGGAGGGCCCCAAATATTTTTTAATTAAAGTAAATTAACTGGATAAAGAAGAAGAGACACATTATGCCCGTCATGGGCATGACAGCCTAGGAAGTGCTAGTGAGACTTAACGACATGGTTCTGGAGGCAAAGGGTGATGGGCTCCCATCATGATGCCAGAGCTATGCAGTTTGATGATCAGGGTGCACAGTTATCCAGAACTCATTATGTGAACATAGGGAATACCAGTTTATCACAGAGAAAGTTTAGGTCCACATGACCAACAAGTGAGACAGGTAAGTCCACGCCCCTACCAAATAAGATTCTAGTGCCAATACAATGCAAACTAAGGGTCTTATGGTTAGATCACTTCAGACTCTCACTAAATCATATAAGAGGTGAAAGAGCAAATAAATAACTTTCCCAAACAACAGAATAATTCAGAGATTTATTAATGTATTTTACTTGGCTTTTGAGGGAACTATTACAGAAAAATTTCAGGATTTCATAGGATAGGATGGACACATTTTTTGTTATGACTTTTAGAATCTAAATTTGTGATTAGGAAGAATGGAAAGAAAAGCTATAAAGAAAACTGACTTTAGAGACTTTAGAAACAGGTTTGAGTGCCAACTGTACCATGAATACAGTTGAATGAGTTAGTGTGTAGTGACCTCTCCACACCAACTTCAATTACAAAATTGAAGTAATTGTACTGCTTACATTACATTTGAAAATGTTTTTAAAGAAAAAAAAATTCACACCTATATGTGCATATGCCACCCATTTTGTTATTTTTTTCATCCTGACAAAGTTTTCTAATCTTGGCAATTTTGTAATGCATCCTGCAAATTTTTCATTCATTTTAATCATGCTATATTAACAACTATAATTATTTACAAAATAAATACTTCCTTTTTGTTAAGAGCTGATGAGGATTTCACAGATTCAGCTCCTGTCTGGAGATGAAAGATACTACAAAAAATATTTCCCCCAAAGCAAAGGCTATTCAAGATCTTTAAAAGGCAAATTTAAGGCCCTCCCTGGTGGCACAATGGCTTAGGACGCAGCATTGCAAGCTGGCCGCAACTGCTTTAGTGCAAATTTGATCCCTGGCTTCAGAGGTGATCTACATGGTGCAGCAACCTCTCCTGTCTTACCCGCTGCTCCCCTCAGCTGGGTATTTCAGTACCTCCACCTGTTCTGCTCTCTACTCTGTCTCTGGTGAAGCCTTTCACTGCTCCTGCACCTCTGGCCTATACCCAGTTCTGTATGCATAAATAAATAAATCTTTAAAAAAAAGGGCAAATCAATATAAATGCAACAATACATTTCAAAGATTTTTGCTGTAGATGTTCAAGTCATTTTCTGCTTTCTTACCTTAGAAATTTCTAGTTGAAGGAAATTAGGATATAGTAAAGGGGTTGAAATGCCCATTGAATGTTTTCATAGTTAGCAGCCTCTCATAATTTCTTTGGGTTTCAGTTTCACAAACACATCATGGGATTAAAAACATTACTCATCTTGTAAAAAGCAGAAACCTTGGACACTGTCAGTATATGCTTGTATATGCCAGATCAATTTGTAGTACCTTATCATCTATCAGCCATACTAGCAACTGAAATCAAAAGTAAGAAGGACATGAATCTACATATTATATTAACATAATACACTTTTCAACATATAATTCTGAAATTAACAATGACTCACTTTGGAAAATAGCTATATGTAAACAGTCAAATTATTATAGTTTCCATCTTAAACTAAATAAATGTGATTTGAAATAACCTTGGAAGACAGGTAATAGAACTACATTTACTGGTCAGCCAATGGAAGTCTTAGTATTTTTTTCTGATTTATAACACAACTGTCACTGCAATACAAACCGTAGTTATTTAGCTGTGCTATTACCACATAATCCCTTAAAAAGGGATCCTTGATCTTAAAAATAAGTGTTTGCCTGTCCCGGGTGTGGGAGATAATCAGGGCAGAGAGAGACATACAGAGAACACATAACATATAAGTAAACTAAAAACCTTGCCAAGTGTATCAAATCCATGGTCAGCAAATACAATGTGTTTTGTGTGGGTCCTCCTTTTTCATCAGTTCCTTTTTAGGCAGCAAAGTCTCCTGAATGATTGTTGTAATTTAGGATTACTCAAGATTATTACTACTGAATGAAAAGAGGGGTAAGCAGCCATTATATCTTTCATCACAAAGAAACGCTGACTTCTGTAAGGGATGCTGAATGTTATATTCACCATGAAAACAGCAAAATAAGAAATAAAGAGCAAAAGAATGTTATCACTGTCCTTAATGCATTTATATGGGCTTTTGTGCTAGCATTTCTGAAACCATGAGATCCGTTCTGCATCCGGTGAGTGTGCTTGTAGAGAGAAATGAGTAACATAAAAGTGCATATCACAAATATGGCTAAAGGAAATATTAATGTCACGTTGACAAAAAGTACTTCATTAATTTGCTTGAATTTAGTCCCTCTTCGAGTAGCATTCCTGAGAACATCATCATCCACGTTTTTAGGGTAATCTACCATGATACACAGAGCGGCAGTGCCCATGGAGGTCAGCAGGCTTTTCAGAAGCAGCCAAGGCATCAGCTTTGATATCCTGTATTTCAGCCAAAGAAAGTAGTTCTGAGAGAAGTGTGCTATCTTGAAACAGTAAAACACGGATAGGCAGGTGGCAAACCAGAGACTGACAGAGCTAAAAAATATCCAAAGGAACATCATTGTTGAACCATAAATTTTCACTCGATAAAAGAGTGGAAAGAGGGGCCCTCCCTGGTGGCGCAGCGGGTTGAAGCACTGCACTAAGAAACTAAACCCACTTCCGCATGAGTTCGATCCCTGTCTGCCCCGGAGGCGACCACATGGCGAGGCAGACCTCTCCTGACCCGCCCACTGCTCCCCTCAGCAGTGTACTTCCTCGATCTGCCTGTTCTGCTCCCTGCTCTGTCTCTGGTGAATCCTCTCACCCTCCGCATCTCTGGCCTGTACCCCAGTTCTGTACGAATAAATAAATAAATCTTTAAATAAAAAAAATAAAAAAAAGAGTGGAAAGAACACAGAGCAAAAACTCTGTATCATTAACACCATCTGCAGAGCAAATCTAGACAATCCTATACATATGAAAAGGAGTTGTATTGGCATTAGCCTTCTGCTTTTGATCAATTCTTTACAGTTGATGATTATAAGAAATCCATTTACTGTAATGCCGGTGATAAATTCTACTGCATAAGAATAACATGAGGAATACCTGATAAGGAAGAAATCATGTTTTCTATTGCAAATCTTAGGTTTTTCCTTGTGGATACCGTGAAATACCTTCTCCAGACAATCTTGCACATAGACACACGCAGCTCTGAGAAATCTGATCTTCTGCCAACTCTGAGATCATAAGTAAAATCTTACTATAGTTTTTTCCCAACAGAAAAAAGTCAGAGGTATTACTTTTCAAATGGGTTGCCTTTCAAATGAAACCAAGGAATGCAAATCCAAAGATTTGAATGATGTTATGTCTTCCAATTACATCCTAGGAAAATTGCCACATTCACATTATTCAATGCTTACTTTTATCAGCTTTGCAAAAACATACTTATAAATATTTCATTTATGTCACCACCTATTTCCTTTGTGTCTTCCCTGCCTCTACCCACAGTACAAATGCCACATCCCTAACAGAGACAATTGTTGCCTATTACTGACACAAGTATCCCACTTCAGATGTGGCTCTTTCCTTCATGCAATTTTTTTAATTTTTAATAATTCAAACCAAAGTAACAAATTTTCCTTCCCTCTCCCCAACTCCATAAAAGAAAATTTCTTCTTCAGACTCGAAAGAAATTTCTGCTACCTAATTTGCTTAAGAATCCTTTATCACCCTAGATAATCTCTCATATTTTCAAAGCCTTCTTGGTAGAATTTGATCTGACAGTCAACAAAGGACAGTGAGAAAAGCAATACGTAATTAATCCACATGCTGACATCATCTTTTTTTCATGTTGAACAACTTCATTTCAAAAAGTAAATGCTATAAAAACTTTCAACCACCAGCAGACGGTGGAGTTAGCCCCATGTTAAAATGAGCTTACTTTATTACAGAAAGATGTCCACAAATACTGCTGACCTTTAATTATGTCCTATGTAAAACACAAATAAATCATTACTACTTTACAAATAAACTGTGGTGTTCCATGCATTTAGTTCTGGTCACACTAGGCTATCAACAAATAATAACCACCATTAATAATTTTAAGTTTCTGTCTCATTGTCTGCTTATCACAGCATTAAAATAATTCTATTCAAAAGTTTCAATGAGAAAATTAAAATGTGTTCTAGAAGAAACAGGATTGTAACACTACTGAAAACAGAAAATGCATGGAATTAGGTATGCCTCCCACTGTCCTCAGATTTCATGGACATCCACTAGTCCATAAAAGCAAGTATCACTGCTACTTGTGTAATATTCCACTGCCAGTTTCTTCACTGTGCTCACTCACCTTCTATAGTTCACAGATATCAAAAATACAGCAAGATTTACCCCTTTTCTATCCCTTCAAAAATATTAAAACTGTTCCCTTTCCAATAAATGGTGCTGGGAAAAACTGGACTGCCACATTTAAAAGAATGAAACTAGCCTATTATCTCACATCATACACAAAAGAGATAAAAGATCTGGATATAAGACCTAAAACTATAAAATATAGAAAAGAAAACAGGTAAAACTGTCCATGACATAAATTCAGGACACATCATTGAGGGATCATTTCCAGATGCAACTGGAAAGAGACTATAAACAACTGGGACTACATCAAACCAATAAGCTTCTGTACAGCAAAAGCAGCAGTAACCAAAACCACGAGCACCCCTCTGAATAGGAGAAAGTAATTACACAGCATATAATTGGTAAAAGACTGATATCAAAGAGCTCATGCAATTGAACAAAGCAAACAACCAAAACAAAAAATAGGTAAATGAGCTAAAAAGATGCTTCTCCAATAAAGAAATACAAATGGCCAACAGGCATGTGAAAAAAAAAAGTTCAATATCACTTATTATTAGTAAAATGCAAATCAAAACCACAATGAGATACCACCTCATACCTGTGAGAATGGCTCACATTAAAAAAATTGGAAACAACAAATGCTGGCAAGGATGAAATGAAAAAGGAACCTATTTATACTGTTGGTGGGCATATGAACTGGTTTAACTACTACAGAAAGCTGGTTGGAGGTTCCTAAAAACACTAACAATGGATCTACCATATGATCCAGCAATTCCACTCCTAGGAATGTGCCCAAAGAATACAAAAACACTAATTTGAAAGGAAAACAGCACTCTTATTTCATTGCACTCTGTTTACAATAGCTAAGATAAGAAAGCAACTTAAATGACCCCAAACAGATGAACAGATCAAGAAGATTGGTATGCACACACAGTGGAACACTACTCAGCAATCAGTAAGAAGATAAACTCATGTCATTTGGAGCAACAAGAATGGATCTGTATGAGTTTGTGCCAAGTGAAATAAGCCAGAAGTCAAGAGTTTGTGCCAAGTGAAATAAGCCAGAAGTCTATATATATATATATATATATATATATATATATACACACACACATATATATCATATATATATACATTAATTTCACTTATATGCGGAATATAGAGAAATTGAACAAAGAGACGAGAAAAAGACAAAACTTACAGCTGACCATCCACAGATCTGAGGCACACAACAGAGGAACAGGAGGAAGAGGGGTCAAATCAAATACTGTCCAAAAATTACCAATGATGTAAGAAAATGAATAAATTTAATTTTAAAAAGAAACGAAAATGCTGGGTTTCTTAGAAATATGACTAGTAATTAAGACTACTAGGCTGAGTCAGGAAACAAAAAGGGAAGAGTCTAATGTCTCTGGTAAAGGTCTATGACCATTTGGGGTGTGTGGTGTAGTGACATCTCTGAAGAGGTATGAATGTAAAAATTCTCTATATCACATACAGTATCATAAAACAATGTTAACTTAATAAATAAAATAAATTGCTGTGTGTGTGTGTGTGTGTGTGTGTGTGTGTTATGTCAGTTTGTCTTTGGATTCTGTCTTTGGCCCTGAAATCAGATTTTGCCTTTGATTTGCAAACTTGCCATCTTCCTTGTCAATAAACAATGAATTTGCCAATGAACGGTAAATGCCTTATTCTATGATCTACCAGAAATTATTCCTAATTCTGGTATGTATATCTTCATCTCAATTCCAAACTGTAGTCCAGTGTTTTGAACTTAGGCTCTAAGTAGAAAGAAAATGGCATTTGGACACATTACTGCTCAGTGTTCTAATTCTTCCCTGAGACTGTGCTATTTATATTGAATCATTTCACTTAAAAGGATCTGACAGATGAGTTTTCAAGTGTTGTAGACTGCTATAGAATATGGTTGTGAAAACAAAAATTCAATCAATATCAATCTTTCATTTTCTAAAAATTCTATTTTAATTAGTATTTTGTTATAGTCTATACTTAATTAAATGCATTTTTAAATTAAAGATGCTTAGCCAACTGATGGAAAGCAATTTTGCATATACATATCCATCCAGACATTCACATGAAAAAATTATTGATTATACAATGTAAGGTTAAAAATCTCGGAATGTGTAGTGACTACTGAGATTTTTTTTTTATTACAATATACATTCATTGTTTTTTGCTTATACAGTTCAAGGCATTCTGGAAAGGATATACGAATACATACAAAATATATTCTATATTAGTGCAACAATGAGGATCTTTTTATATTTTAAATATCTCTATCAGAATACAGAATTTTTGAAGACAACAACCATATTATCTTCTTTGTTTCTCATTATTCCTTTTCTATGGTCCTTTTTCTCAATTTTCCATAGTAAAGTAGGTTAAAAAAATGTGGAGCAATTTACACTTACTAGTCAGAAAAATAACTTGATTGGAGTCAATATTAACTTGTCTGAAATTTTTATTTTATAAAAAATCACTACTTTTCAAAAATCATATTTATAATAGCTACCTGGGGAAGCACATAAACTATGAATACATAAAACGTTGGGAAAATGTGAAATCATATAAACCATTATATAAGCAGTTCTTTTTGAATCTCATTTGTTAGATAAATGCATAATTTATAAACTGGATATCCTCCACTGAATATCCAAGTGTCTTAAAATTTTTTGCTGAGTTAGTTTCAAGTCACCTTGCATTTGGCACATTCATACAAGTCCAGCTGGCACTCTTGAGGGTTATGTGATTCTGATATGATGCTTGATTTCTAGAGAATGTACTTTATTCACATATCACAGATTCCAGTTCTCATTTGCCTCTTTAAGTACATCATTTAGCTGAAGAGAAACCTTGGCTTTCCAAGAACTAAAGGCACAACTGACATCCAGACACAATTTAGCAGAGTTGTATCTGCATTGTGATTTTTTTCCCCTGTTACATGTGGGCTGTTTTGCATTTACCCTTATTGAATTCCATTTTGAAAAGAAAATTTTAGTGAGGAGCTCTTTCTCAGTTCTGAGAAAAGTTGATAATCAGTGGGACAGTCTTGAAGTTAGTAATAATGCATGGACTCACTAGAGATCTGGGAAAGGCAGTGGCTACAGGGAAAGAGATGATTTTTCAAATTAAAAAATGTGTGAATGTTTGACTAAGCATTTTACTGACAAATAGACTTCTTTACTAAAAAGAAAAACAAGGCCCTCCCTGGTGGCGCAGCGGGTTAAAGCACAGCACTATGAAGCTAATGCCACTTCCGCATGAGTTCCATTCCCACCTGCCCCGGAGGTGACCACATGACATGGCAGACCTCTCCTAACCCGCCTGCTGCTCCCCTCAGCAGTGTACTTTGTTGATTTGCCTGTTCTGCTGCCCACTCTGTCTCTAGTGAAGCCTCTCGCTGCCCCTGAACCTATGGCCTGTACCCCAGTTCTGTATGCACAAATAAATAAATCTTTATAAAAAAAAGAAAGAAAAAGAAAAAGAAAAACAATATCTATCAAAAGGCATCAGATATGTATCATTCACTAAATTAATTTCTGTTTAGTCATCTTCTGATTAATAAAAGTCTTTTAAATGCTCACATTATACTTAAAAGCTGGCATACCTGCAGTGGAGTTTTTTATTTGCCTTTACATTATGCAACACAGTAAGAGCCATCTGATTCTAAGATGATGTTCATAAATTACCTCAAAGAAGTAGGATATACGTTCAATATTCATATTATCACAAGTATTTCCCATACAG